ATCACTGTAAAACAAATAGTGACTTCGCCACAACCCCCATCACGCTCCTCGTCTGCATGATTTAGGAGACTGCGGTGTGCAGTGGAGGCAAACTGCAACTGCTGCCCTCGTTTTTACCATGGCATTAAATTTGAAAAGGATACATGGTCTCCGAACAGCGAAAACTGCATTGATTCTTGCTTTTTTGCTCAAAAACTATTTTTCTGCTGATTTTCTGTGCTTAACTCTGCAGGCAGTGTGAGCCAACTAAACCGATCATTTCAGCACTGTTGCATTGTGAAAGTACTTTTGACTGCTTGAATCAGTAAATGTAGCATCAAATGCTAGTGCACTAAATACTGTTACATAAAGCAGGGCTTATTATTAACCTGCTTATTGTATAGACTCCTTAGTAACTTTTCTCAACCTCAACTTTAGACTTGAACTTTAGAATATAAAGGATTTATGCTAACTGATCCGTGCCACTTAGTACCTGCATCTCATACTAGATATGCCTCGATAGATGTAACAGATATATGCAGTAGCTGGAATTTGTGTTAATGTAATTCATCAATGGAAAGAAGGACACTGACACATCCTGACATGCCAAGATTCCACTGTGTGGGCTTAGAAAACAATGGCAGGTATTATATAAAGCTTTTAGAGGATTTATATGCCAAATCATAACTGCATTCCATACACATAAAAAAACAATCACATTTTCACACGTAGCACCCACCTACTTGTTTATCCAGTGTTTTGATATTTAAAAAGAAAAAGAAAAAACCTTGATCCCGTATGATGTTTCTTCAAGTATTGTATTACAACTTAGAGTTAGAGTTTAAAATGAAGTGACCTCCGGCAGTCATGTCAATAGCTGCATGTAAAATGTGGTATCATCGGCCAGCCAGCTATCCACAAGGGACACCAGGGCACAAAAACATGTCAGTTATGGTCAATAACCTGTGATGTACCACTTGTCCAAGAAGCAGTAAATTAGCAAGTTTGTCTCCAAGTTGCATAGTTTAAGGGTGCAGATTGCTAACCAAGCTCGCTGGCCCATGTGATAACTTATTATGCCACTCTCTTGTACTTATGTAGTAACTGAATATTACATATATACGTGAGGGGAATATATATGTGAATCTATGCTTTCATTTTTGGGGTTTTTTGCATTTTGGGGTGAAGAACAGACAGAGCTCCTGAATGTGCTTCTGAATGAGCTCTACGCCATTACATACAGCAACATTAACCTTAACAGTACCCTAACCCTATATTTTGCAGAAAGGCAAAAATAACTTTTCTGGAAGAAATGTGAATAGTCTTTGATGCGTAAAGTGAGAATGATTCCTGACTACCAAGGCTTTGGAGCACTATTTAACAGAAACAAAAATTGCACATGCTCAATGGCTAGGGTAAGAGCTATGGTTATGGTTGGAGTTTTCACCAATGACAACCTAGACTGGACATAAGTGGGACATATTTTTGGTGTCATTTATATTAAAGAGAACTCAAGCACAAGTCACAAGACCAGGTAGACATGTTGAAACAGTGTGTAAGCAGAATGCATATGAAGCCAAAACCAAGCCTCAGGGCAATAAAAATCCAAGATCACTATTGTTTCTACAACAACATTACTTTTACGCTTACTAAAAACAGTTTTACAGCAGAGGCTGGTGTAATTAACCTATATTGTGTCAGCTGAAGTAGTGTATTTGTCCACCCAGAGCAATTGTTGGTCACTGTTTCACCATGCAAAGTATTTTCCTAACCCTTGACCATCCAACTAGTTTCCAAACAGTTGTGGCTCTGACAGTGAAAACACACTGTGTATGTATCCATTTTCTATTCAGGCTGGTTGTAGCAGTGTACTCTGGCACTCTGCATGGTAGTTCTGTAATGTGTTATTATGGCTCTTGGGAAGCACTTGGAAGAGCCCATGACACCAACAAATAACACAGTGAAGAAGAGGGAATGTTTTTCTTGTCTTTGGCTACATTTGAACACCTCCAGTCCCCTTTTTCACCCCATCCCCCATTGAGTAACCCTATACAGTGTCATATGCATGTCCCTCTGTGTAATTGAAGTGGTTGAAAGAGGAGCAGCGAGAGGAAGGCAATAAGAATAAGAAGGGTGGTTACATTTGAACCAGCTGGCAAGGTCCTATTGAAAATATACAGGCCTGGACATAACCCCCACATTTCCATGCCTCTCTTATGCCATGGCAACAAAACATGAAAATGTGAAAACAATGTGAGTGTGAGTAGTTTCCACTGCCGACATGAACCGTGCAATTAGCTGTTTCAAGGTTTGAGGAAGGGCTTCTTATTAGGATTGAGAGGGCTGAATTGCGAGAGGAGGGCACTCGATGGATACTTGTTGATACCAGTTGCGTAGGATCCGGTCTAGGATCTGGTGTTGGGTGCAGGTAGAGTGCCACTGTCTGCCAGCTGCAAAAGCAATTAGCCTAATGGAGCTCTTAGCTAGCTGCACATTAGTGGTTTGGGCGAGGACTTGGTGTCTCTTCTCTAGATAATGAACAGTGTTTGTGCTGCCCTATTATATTCTATTATGAAAAATGTTTTAAAAAAAGAAAAGAAAAGAGAGAGAAATAGAAAATCATTTACAGACAGCCAGTGTAGAATAAGCTGTGAACCACACTTACTCTTTGAACTCTGGAAGAAGGCAGAGTACCTGGAGAGAACCCACACAGCGACAGGGAAAACATTCAATTCAATTCAATTCAGTTTTATTTATATAGCACCAAATCACAACATTAGTCACCTCAAGGTGCTTTATATTGTAAGGTAAAGCTTCAACAATAATACAGGGAAAACCCAACAACCAGATGACCCCTATGAGCAAGCATTTGGCAACAGTGGGAAGAAAAAACTCTCTTTTAACAGGAAGAAACCTCCAGCAGAACCAGGGTCAAGAAGGGGCATGACAAAACAAACACTGTGGAAGAGACATATAAAATCTACTCCCAGAAAAACTCTGAACGGCCACTTTGAACCAGGAGTCCTCTTGCTGTGAGGTGACAGTGCTCACCAGTGCACAACACTGATATTGATAGTGATTTTTTTCTTTTTTTGGTCATAATTGCAGATAGAAAGGAGAAAATTAATAAAGATAATACATATACTTACTTAGTATACCATCTTGCAGTTGTATCACAGCAGCCATAATGCTAATGAGTTCTATATATATAAAAACATAATGTTAATAGAGAATAGAGAGACTTCATATGTGGAATTCTAAATATTAAACAATGTAACTGAGCGCTTGGGTCAGTTCATGAAAAATCAATCAACATTAATGGCTCAATGAGCAAATTGCCCTCAAAGCTTGTGAATTTTCTTTTGGCGTTTCTTCTTTTTCTCATGTAACTAAACTTTTTATAGATTTAGTTTTTATGGATTTATGGACTTAGTTGTCCATAAAGAACTTGGATGGAAAATAAAATGTGGTTCCATTCTCCTAAACTGTCATTCAAATTATTGAGAAAAGCCTTCTGATCACATGAGCTTATTGGTGGACAATAAGTATATACAGTTCTTCAAGTACACAAAAAGAGAAGCTCAAGTTTTCTGTGTGATTTACAGTGAACAGAGAATAGTGATTGTACTAGAAACATAACTTTAAAAAGTGTCAATATGGCATTATCTATGTTCAGTTTCTGTCTGGTGACAGACAGTCAGCACTGACACTGTAAACCGGTGTCTTGTCTGTGCAAACAAATATGCTGTCACTTAGTAAAAGAGAACCATGAAGGCACCCGCAGTTCTCTGTATTTATTGGAAGAATCGCTGTGGATGCTTTAGCAAACATATATGAGGACAGACTGCCCTCTAGTGTTATGTTCATGTCAGTGCATTGCACCTCAATGGAAGAGCCTATTCTCTGCTCCTCTTTCAATTTTTAACCAAAATATTATCAAAGAAAGAGTCACACGTGAAACTGTCACAGATGATTTACTACATTATTATATAGTAGATTTTAATATTATTATTAATTAGATTAATGATTATGTTAAAATACACCCGTAGCATCATCAGGCACATCACTGAGAATGTGAAAATGTTTTGAATACAAATGTCTTACATTATAAGAACATAACGGAACATCTGTAAACTAGAGTGAGAAAGGATTTAGTATTCAGCCTGAAGCATAACCCTGGCAGAAAGGCTTGTCATTTGTGAAAGTAATGTATGCATTCATTTTAAGAAAAGTGACAAGAAATATACAATACATTATTTATTTACTTATTTGTTTGTTTGTTTTTTGAGCAATGACTCCAGCATTGCTGGATATCTATGGAACTGCTGATCTACTGTTATTTTTTTCAGTAAAACCCTCTCTATGCTTCACAGAAAACAGCCAGATAAACAGAAAATATCATGTGAGCGGCAGATCTCTGGGTCTTGTTGATGTCATAGGTCAGAGGAGAATATCCAGACTGCTTTAAGCTGGCACAAACCAAAAACTTATGGATCAGTATTTCAGGTTTGAGAAATTAGGTATCATCAGGACGCTACAACACAGAGTGAACACCATCCCCACAGACACAGCAGCAGGGGAAGCAGAAGAACATCATATCAAAATGGCCCTGAGTGAGTGTGGTTATCCCAGCTGGACATTTGTCAAAGCTGGGAAGGTGCCTAAAGAAAGCTCTAGGTGCGAAAACTTGTGATTTCTTATGTAACAGGAGTATAGAAACATCTCAAAACATAGTGTCTCTGTGGCTTTCAAACCCCTAAACACACTACGCCAAAAACTGGTCCACCTATAGGATTGGGAACTAAATAGTATAGTGTACACTGTTAACTGCAAGGAGGAAAACCATGCAGTTAACATGCAGTTACATCAGAGAAACCAAACAGCCTCTGGCTAAGCTGATAGCACAACACGGAGGAGCTCGTGAGGCCAGGGCTCAGCAGTCTATTTATACCTACAGGCCAGCGGACACACTCAAAAAAATAATTCATTGGATGAACTCAATTTCATCTTGCCACCTATATTCCATCTAAACAAATCATGTTATATCAATCCATCTTGATTGTGTTGTTTCAACACTAAATATGTTTGTAAGTGTAACATAATTTAAACATTAACATTCAGTTAATTTGATTTTTATTCAGTTAACATGTTTGTACCAAGTTAGTCTAATTAAATTCATGTTATATTGTTTAAACACCTTGGCACATCAAAAGTCAGTCTTGTTACATGAACTAGTAAAATATTTGTTTGTTACACCGATGTTTTCTGGGTCATCTTCAGGCTCCGCACCCTCCTGATGTATGACATACACTCCCATCACAGTTTGTTCCATGGCTTCAGTGTTGGCCTCAGTGTTCTGTGACGTAAAATATAATAATACATTTGTTTGAGTCTAGATATGAAAAAAAAAGGAATTCAACAAAACAAGGACCAATTGCAATATCTTTTATTCACACGTGGTGTCACATTTTACCATTTCATATATCGAAATTACCCATAACTCCTGGAGCAAATTACATAACACAGAACAACTTGTGAATGTAACTGACTGTATATTCCTTCACAAGTTTCTCATGGTCTTCATTCAGGTAGACACACAAGGACTTCAGGATGCATGCTCGTCTTGTATGTATTGTGTCATCCTAAGAAAAAAGGGAATCCATAATGACAATATTTAGCTTTTAGGCAGCAGTTTGAAAAAGGAATACTTAGTTTGGAAGAGTCCAAAAGGCCACATGGTAAATAGACTGGTTCTTATATAGCGTTTTTCTACTCGGAGCACTCAAAGCTGCCTTTATACAACAATTCATTCACCCACTCACTTTTTCTAAACTGTTTAAATAGCCTGTATTTATATAGCACTTTACTGGTCCCTAAGGACCCCAAAGCACTTTACATATTCAATTCAATTTTATTTATATAGCGCCAAATCACAACATAAGTCGCCTCAAGGCGATGACATATCTAGTCATCCACCCATTCACACACACCTTCACACACTGGTGATGGCAGCTACATTGTAGCCACAGCCACCCTGGGGCGCACTGACAGAGGCGAGGCTGCCGGACACTGGCGCCACCGGGTTTAGTGCTTCCTGTCTAACATTCATACACATTCACACTCCGATGAATGCATCGGTGAGCAACTTGGGGTTAGTATCTTGCCCAAGGATATTTGGCATGCAGACTGGAGGAGCTTGGGACCAAACCGCCAAGCTTCTGGTTAGTAGCTGACCTGCTCTACCACCTGAGCTACAGTCACCTCGAAACATCTGTCTAAACCAAATCAGACACAAAATGAGGCAACTAAACACTAATGGTTTTTTTGGGGTTTTTTTTTTTTCATTTTGATCAAAATTAACCATACGATGTTATCAATTACTTATTAATATAAGACTGATGCTTATATAATTTGTATAAAATATGAAAACCTCTTAGGACTTTTGCCTAAGATGTATAGATATCTTTGCTCATAAAATTGCCAGATTATGGGCATAAAAAGTTCTTAAGCACAGATCTAACCCACCTTGGAGATGGCCACGATGATGTGTCTCATTTTTCTGCCAGCCACCCCACCTTTGCCTCGAAAGAGCTCCATCATGCGTGGAGTGTACAAGTCTAGCTCATAAAAGAATCTAGATAGCAGCGGTACTGTCGATATGTGCAGGAATTCCTTGTCAATCTGAAAAACATGAACAATGCACTTATAATATGCACCAGAGGAAGGACATACCAGGAATTATTAGCTGTTTTATCACTATGTTATGTCAATATTAATGAAGCAAGAAATAACTGGTCAACCATAAACACACTCTTGCGACATAAAGCTAGACATATAGGACATGCACCTCTTTCTTGGTGAACAGAGCTGGCCATCTGCTTTTAAAATCTGCAATGAAGGGCTTTCCTTGAATAACTTCTTGCCTTCTGTACGAAAAAGTCTTCTGCATTTTCATTGTCACTATATTGTCATTGTTTCTCTTCTGAATCTCTGAAAGCAGTGCAATTGTCTCTTTTTCCAGGCTGTCAGTGGTTTCTCCTTTTGGATACTGCGGACTTCTGCTCTTCTAGGCTTTTTCACATTCAATGCTGCCTGACTTTTGTCTTGGGTCTTGTTCTTTAGTGAATTTACCAACACCTTTGTGATGCATTTCTGGGGAGAGAAATTAATTAAAACAAAGTTATTACTCTGACAAATTTGTGTTAATATCTACATACTGTGAAA